TTGTTATGAATGATACTGAAACACTCATAATGGTGTTATCACTGGTTTCATTAAGATGTATACCCCTTCATATAAAGGGTGTGTGTGTGACTGTATGTGTGTACAGTTCGGTTCGATGTTTGGTTGTGAGTGTGTGTTTGTATATGCGTACAGGTGCATGTGTGAGTGTGCTTCCAATTGGTGGAGGGTGGTATGTCTATCAAAATGAGGGAAGTAATGCATCAAAACATTGACCTTGGTATGTTATTACATGATCAGTTGACGTTATTACATTATTCATCAAAAACATTGTTACTCACCTGATAACATAATTACCACAATTACCATAATTACCATTAATTATGACATTATTAATCTTATTACGTTAACATTACTTATGTTAACCTGTGGTTGTAACCTTAGAGTCTGCCCGGAGCTGGGTTTCTACTAAGTTAACATATGGAATTGTTTTAAGATGATCTAACAAAGGATCATTTTGTTATTTGAGTTGGAATTTTAGGACCCCTGTAGGCTTCAAAAATATAAAATAAAGTATTTGATGAAACATACAATTTGGCCTTCCTGCTATTAGCCGATAGAAACACATTGGAGAACAGATTCATCAAAAGTAAATATGCTTTGAAGTGTCTGTTCTACATCTGAGAGATATAAGACAGCTCAGGAAATTATTTTATATATATATATACAGTGGGGAGGACAAGTATTTGATACACTAGTAAAACACACAGTAAAAAAGCTTTGGAGCACCTTAAATTACATTTTGGGTAAAAAGGTGAACTCTGCTCCATCCTTCATTGAATCAGATTGCTCATTCATCACAAAATTCACTGATACTGCCAAATACTTTAATGATTTTTTCATTGGCAAGATTAGCAAAGTTAGGCTTGCCATGACAACAACAAATAACTGACCATATTATGAAAATCAAGCATTGTAGTTTTTAATTCTGTAAAGTGAGTGTGGAAGTCTATCAACAATGACAAGCACCTGGGACTGACAACTTGGATGGAAAATTACTGAGGATGATAGCAGACTATATTGCCACTCCTATTTGCCATCTCTTCAATCTAAGCCTACAGGAAAGGTTGTGCCCTCAGTCCTGGAAGGAAGCAAAAGTCTTCTGCTACCCAAGAATAGCAAAGTACCCTTTACTGGCCCAAACAGCTTACCTATAAGCCTGTTTTCAACCCTCAGCAAAGTTTTGTAAAAAATGGTGTTTGACCAGATACAATGCCATTTCACAGTAAACAAATTAACTACAAACTCTCAGCACACCTACAGGGAAGGGCATTCAACATGTACATCACTTACACAAATTACTAATGATTGGCTGAGAGAAATTGATAATAATAAGATTGTGGGGGCTGTTTTGTTACGCTTCAGTGCAGCTTTTGACATTATCGATCATAATCTGCTGCTGGAAAAACATATGTGATATGGCTTTACATCCCCTGCTATACAGTGGGGGAAAAAAGTATTTAGTCAGCCACCAATTGTGCAAGTTCTCCCACTTAAAAAGATGAGAGAGGCCTGTAATTTTCATCATAGGTACACGTCAACTATGACAGACAAATTGAGATTTTTTTTTCTCCAGAAAATCACATTGTAGGATTTTTAATGAATTTATTTGCAAATTATGGTGGAAAATATGTATTTGGTCACCTACAAACAAGCAAGATTTCTGGCTCTCACAGACCTGTAACTTCTTCTTTAAGAGGCTCCTCTGTCCTCCACTCGTTACCTGTATTAATGGCACCTGTTTGAACTTGTTATCAGTATAAAAGACACCTGTCCACAACCTCAAACAGTCACACTCCAAACTCCACTATGGCCAAGACCAAAGAGCTGTCAAAGGACACCAGAAACAAAATTGTAGACCTGCACCAGGCTGGGAAGACTGAATCTGCAATAGGTAAGCAGCTTGGTATGAAGAAATCAACTGTGGGAGCAATTATTAGGAAATGGAAGACATACAAGACCACTGATAATCTCCCTCGATCTGGGGCTCCACGCAAGATCTCACCCCGTGGGGTCAAAATGTTTACAAGAACGGTGAGCAAAAATCCCAGAACCACACGGGGGGACCTAGTGAATGACCTGCAGAGAGCTGGGACCAAAGTAACAAAGCCTACCATCAGTAACACACTACGCCACCAGGCACTCAAATCCTGCAGTGCCAGACGTGTCCCCCTGCTTAAGCCAGTACATGTCCAGGCCCGTGATGGGATGTTGTTCCATAGTGGTGATGGGATGTTGTTCCATAGTGGTGATGGGATGTTATTCTAGAGGAGTGGTGATGGGATGTTGTTCCATAGTGGTGATGGGATGTTGTTCCATAGTGGTGATGGGATGTTGTTCCATAGTGGTGATGGGATGTTGTTCTAGAGGAGTGGTGATGGGATGTTGTTCCAGAATGGTGATGGGATGTTGTTCCATAGTGGTGATGGGATGTTGTTCCATAGTTGTGATGGGATGTTGTTCTAGAGGAGTGGTGATGGGATGTTGTTCCAGAATGGTGATGGGATGTTGTTCCATAGTGGTGATGGGATGTTGTTCCATAGTGGTGATGGGATGTTGTTCCATAGTGGTGATGGGATGTTGTTCTAGAGGAGTGGTGATGGGATGTTGTTCCATAGTGGTGATGGGATGTTGTTCCATAGTGGTGATGGGATGTTGTTCCATAGTGGTGATGGGATGTTGTTCCAGAGGAGTGGTGATGGGATGTTGTTCCAGAATGGTGATGGGATGTTGTTCCATAGTGTTGATGGGATGTTGTTCCATAGTGGTGATGGGATGTTGTTCCATAGTGGTGATGGGATGTTGTTCCATAGTGGTGATGAGATGTTGTTCCAGAGTGGTGATGGGATGTTTTTCCATAGTGGTGATGGGATGTTGTTCCATAGTGGGTGGATTTATATAAGTCAACTAACCAGGATGTCTAGCTGTTCATGTACAGGCATGGCATCTCTTAGATACTAGCATTTATTTAGTCTAGGTACTTTTACTGCAATTGGACAGGAGTGAGGTGTGTGTGTGTGTGTGTGTGTGTGTGTGTGTGTGTGTGTGTGTGTGTGTGTGTGTGTGTGTGTGTGTGTGTGCGCTAGAGAGATGAAAGAGTTGTGTGTCAGAATGACTGTTTATATGTTTTAATCTAAATGAGATTTTTGTAATATTATTGCTGCCTTCAATGCTGATTGGCTGAATCTAACCTCTAACCTCTACCCTCTAACCTCTAACCGTGTGCGCACCCCCCCCCCCCCCCCATCCCATGACACTGTTCTACTTTTGTTATGTTGATTTCATAGTCTGTTTAAAACCACTGGCTCTCACACCCTGACTTTGGCTTTGGCATGCAGCTGTGTTTGTAACACGCCCTGTCTGTCAGAATTGCATAACTGCTCAGTCATACCAAGACCTGGTCTGGTATGCAGCTAGGAGATATACCATAGCAACATGTTATGACATGTTGTTGTCACAGGGGGGGAAACCAAATGTTTTGACAGACATTAGATCATCCACTAATGTTATACTGATGGAATAGTAGAGAAAACATGAGAAGGATGTGAGTATAGAGACAGGAAGTGGAGCTTCAACAGTAGGAAGAGGCTATATGTAGTGGGATTCATATTCACACTCTCCTCATCTCTACTTCTTCATCAGTGGATGATCTGATCTCTGTCAAAACATAAATTTTTTGGTTTTTCCCTCCTGTTGCAACAACATGTCAAAACAGGACACAAACCTCCCTCCTGCCTCGGTAGCCTGCAGTAAGAAGTCACGTCAGAGAGATACAGAGGAAGAAAAATACTTTCATCACCTTTTACTGCCACACTGCTGTTCATGTCTTTGTCTTTGTAGATATTTTTTCAGGTTATTACATGATTTACATGTTCAGGTTACTTGGTACAGTTGCAGACAGTTAGATGGGTCAGGTACACGCAAGGTCATGGACATTTTTACGTTGTACAAAAGCAGTGCTTCTCAATCCTGGTCCCGGGGACCCAAAGAGATGCGCACCCCTGCCTCCGTCCCCCACACACCCAATCTCAATGAAAGGCTTTATAAATAGTAGATTAGAGTGTGTGAGATGTGTAGATATAATCAATTAGTCAAATAGTTTATGAGAGAGAATCAAACGTTTTCAAAGACAGAATAAAACAAATGTTTTGACAGAGATTAGATCATCCACTGACTGTGGGTGTTTTGTTTTGATATTGATGACAAAACATGATGAAAATTTCAAACAATCTCAAACAGTAGAGTCATTTAATCTTTGAGGACCGACAGTAACACCCACTGCAAATTAAACGTGTGCTGTTAACTCTCCCAAGCTGTTAGGTCTTTGGGGGCTGCTAAAATTCTCAAATCCGGAGCGTTTAAAAAAACTCTGTCCCAAATGTATCGTGAGATCATGGAACATGTTGATTTCCCCTTGGAAATTCAATTATCTGAAAGTGTAGGACCACTCCACTCACCACCACCACCATATATCTATCATAGTGTAGGACCACTCGTCCGTCCGTCCGTCCGTCCGTCCGCCCGCATTACACTGTAGGCTTAAGCTTAAGAAACATCAGTTCAAACTTGCTCCTCTCTGTCTTCCACAGTAACAGGTGTGAGCAATCAGTTGGAACAGTCATTCCCTTGAAGGACTACAATACTGACCATTGTTTATGAGTGCAGTGTTCTTCCCAGCGAGGTTTTGCAACCAGGAAAATAAGGGTTTCAAGGTATCCAAAGCACATGAACAGGAAGAAACTTAGTCCACCCCACATCAATGATGAGGATCTGTCTCTGAGCGTGAGGACGTTATTATTGAAAAGTCATTTTAGTTTATTTCCTGAATTGGCTGCTTTCAATTCGATCCTGGTTCACAGGTTGTCTCCGTCTAGTGTTTTCTGCTTACGAAGTGTGTGTGGTGTCCGGAGGGCTGGGAATAACATGGGGAATAACGTTTGGAACAAGACAGTAAAAATATTTTCTTCTCTTTTCTTCACAGCACCGTGGCCTCTGTCTGGGTTCTCAACCTGGCCCTGTCAGACTTCCTGGCTACGCTGACCCTCCCTCTCTTTACACACTACCTGCACTCCTCTCACAGTTGGGAGCTGGGAGGTACGCCCATAGACCATTATATCAGTCACCATTAGCAGGGTTGCCAACAACCAGATGCATCCGGTTTTCCAGGATATGGCTAAGTCAACCTAGCTTCCTTTTCCACTGAAATCCAGAGGTGGTAACTCCGCTCAGGTATTTTCTTTTACTCCCGCTAAGTTAGGTAGATGTGAATTCTACTTCTATGTGACGTCCTAGTAATAGCGGGTCCCCAGCTAAAATGGCTGACAAATTCTGCCGTTCTGATGACATCAGCCTCTCCATTGTTGTGTCTATGGTTACGCCTACATTGAAATACATAATAATAATATGCCATTTAGCAGATGCTTTTATCCAAAGCGACTTACAGTCATGTGTGCATAAATGTTTTGTGTATGGGTGGTCCCGGGGTTTGAACCCACTACCCTGGCGTTACAAGCGCCGTGCTCTACCAGCTGAGCTACAGAGGACCACAATACGTAGGAGCTAAACTAGTAAGCCACTGACAGTGTGCATTAAATATATGTATACTGTATGTACAAGATGTGTATGACATGGGTATTGGCAATGTACACTATATATACAAAAGTATGTGGACACCCTTTCAAATTAGTCGATTCGGCTATTTCAGCCACACCCATTGCTGACAACTGTATAAAAATGAGCACACAGCTATGCAATCTCCATAGACATTTGCAGTAGAATGGCCTTACTGAAGAGCTCAGTGACTTTCACCGTGGCACCGTCTGTCAAAGCTGGCGTAGGGGTGGTGTGGGAATCAGATGCAGGATGCAGAAGTAGTCCAAAATACTTTAATAAAGTCCACAGAATGAACGGCTACAAACAGAGCCGGAGGCACAAGAAAAATGACGCACTCAGCGTAATAAACAAAACACGCACAATAGTGCGGACTCTCTACAGAAATAGAGCACAAACTAGACATGGAAACACCTGCTGACAATGAACAACTACACACAACCACAAGACAGAAACAACGAGAACTTAAAGGACACATAATCAAGACAAAATGAGAAAACAGGTGTACCAAAACAGACCAAACCAAACGAACACAGAAACAACGAACGGTGGCAGCTAGTACTCCGGGGACGACGACCGCCGAAGCCTGCCCGAACAAGGAGAAGGAGCAGCCTCGGCAGAAACCGTGACAGTACCCCCCCCCCCTTGACGCGCGGCTCCAGCCGTGCGCCGACCCCGGCCTCGGGGACGACCAGGAGGACGCGGAGCAGGGCGCGTGGGATGACCACGATGGAACTCAGTCAGAAGGGACGGGTCTAAGATATCTCTCCTCGGCACCCAGCACCGCTCCTCCGGACCGTACCCCTCCCACTCCACGAGATATTGGAGACCCCCCATCCGGCGTCTCGAATCCAGGATGGACCGAACTGTGTACGCCGGAGCCCCCTCGATGTCCAGCGGGGGCGGAGGAGTCTCTGCTATCTCACAGTCCTGGAGTGGACCAGCTACCACCGGCCTGAGGAGAGACACATGGAACGAGGGGTTAATATTCTTATAATCAATAGGAAGTTGTAATCTGTAACACACCTCGTTCAACCTCCTCAGGACTTTAAAAGGCCCCACAAAACCGCTGACCCAGCTTCCGGCAGGGCAGGCGGAGGGGCAGGTTTCTGGTCGAGAGCCAGACTCGATCTCCCGGTGCGTACACCGGTCCCTCACTGCGGTGGAGATCGGCGCTCGCCTTGTGTCGGCGGATGGCCCGCTGCAGATGTACGTGAGCAGTGTTCCATGTCTCCTCCGAGCGCCGCACCCACTCATCCACCGCAGGAGCCTTGATCTGGCTCTGATGCCAAGGTGCCAGAGCCGGCTGGTACCCTAGTACACATTGGAAAGGAGTGAGTCTGGTGGAGGAGTGGCGAAGGGAGTTCTGGGCCATCTCGGCCCAGGGAACATACCTCGCCCACTCCTCCGGCCGGCCCTGGCAATACGACCTCAGAAACCTACCCACATCCTGGTTTACCCGTTCAACCTGCCCATTGCTCTCCGGGTGGTACCCCGAGGTAAGGCTCACCGAGACCCCCAAGCGCTCCATGAACGCTCTCCAGACTCGAGAGGTAAACTGGGGGCTTCGATCAGACACTATATCCTCGGGTACCCCGTAATGCCGGAAGACGTGAGTGAATAGTGCCTCAGCGGTCTGTAAGGCAGTGGGGAGACCCGGCATGGGAAGGAGACGACAGGCCTTCGAGAACCGATCCACAACGACCAGGATGGTGGTATTTCCCTGGGAGGGGGGAAGGTCAGTAACAAAATCCACCGAGAGGTGAGACCAGGGTCGTTGTGGAACGGGCAGGGGTTGTAGCTTACCCCGGGGCAGGTGTCTGGGTGCCTTACACTGGGCACACACTGAGCAGGAGGAAACATAAACCCTCACATCCCTGGCTAACGTTGGCCACCAGTACTTAGTGCTAAGGCAGTGCACCGTCCGGCCAATCCCTGGATGTCCAGAGGAGGGTAACGTGTGAGCCCAATATATAAGTCGATCCCGAACCTCGAGCAGAACGTACGTCTGACCCACAGGACACTGTGGAGGGCTAGGATCGGTACGCAATGCCCGCTCGATTTCGGAATCGACCTCCCACACCACCGGTGCCACCAGGCAAGACGGCGGGAGTATGGGCGTGGGCTCAACGGACCTCTCCTCCGTGTCATACCGCCGGGACAGGGCATCTGCCTTACCGTTCTGGGACCCAGGGATGTACGTGATCTTAAAAACGAACCGGGCCAGAAACATGTTCCACCTAGCCTGGCGAGGGTTCAGTCTCCTAGCTGCCCGGATGTACTCCAGGTTTCGGTGGTCAGTCAAAATGAGGAAAGGGTGTTGAGCCCCCTCAAGCCAATGCCTCCACACCTTTAGGGCCTGGACCACGGCTAGCAGCTCCCTGTCCCCCACGTCATAATTTCGCTCCGCCGGACTGAGCTTTTTAGAGTAAAAGGCACAGGGGCGGAGTTTCAGGGGCGTGCCAGACCGTTGCGAGAGCACGGCCCCTATACCGGCTTCTGACGCGTCTACCTCGACCTGGAATGGTAGCGCGGGATCCGGATGCGCCAGCACCGGCGCCGAGGTAAACAGGTCCTTCAGTCTCCCAAAAGCGCTATCAGCCTGAGCAGACCACTGCAAGCGCACCGGACCTCCCTTTAGAAGAGACGTTATGGGAGCTGCCACCTGTCCAAAACCCCGGATAAACCTCCTGTAGTAATTCGCAAAGCCCAAGAACCGCTGCACCTCTTTAACAGTGGTTGGAGTTTGCCAATTACGCACGGCCGACACACGGTCAACCTCCATCTTTACCCCTGACGCAGACAACTGATAACCCAAAAAGGAGACAGACTCCTGGAAAAACAGACATTTCTCTGCCTTGACATATAGGTCATGCTCCAACAATCTCCTCAACACTCAGCGCACCAGGGCTACCAGCTCGGCTCGGGTAGAAGAATACACCAGAATGTCGTCAATATACACGACCACTCCTTGCCCCTGCATATACCGGAAGATCTCATCTACGAAGGATTGGAAGACTGAAGGAGCATTCATTAACCCGTATGGCATGACGAGATACTCGTAATGACCCGAGGTGGTACTAAATGCTGTCTTCCATTCGTCTCCCTCCCTAACACGCACCAAGTTGTATACGCTCCTGAGGTCCAATTTTGTGAAGAACCGCGACCCGTGTAAAGACTCCGTCATAGTCGCAATCAGAGGGAGTGGATAACTGTATTTCACAGTAATCTGATTGAGACTGCGGTAATCAATACACGGGCGCAAACCTCCAACCTTTTTCTTCACAAAAAAGAAACTCGAGGACGCAGGGGAAGTGGAGGGCCGTATGTATCCCTGTCTCAGAGACTCGGCTATGTAAGTCTCCATAGCTCTCTTCTCCTCTTGAGACAAAGGATACACATGGCTCCGTGGAAGCGCAGCTCCTACCTGGAGGTCTATCGCACAATCCCCCTGTCTATGTGGTGGCAATTGCGTCGCCTTCGCCTTACTAAACACAAGTGCTAAATCCTCATACTCGGGGGGAATGTGCAATGCGGGCACTTGGTTTGGACTCTCCACCGAGGTCGCCCCTACGGAAACGCCCAGACATCGCCCTACACACTGGGCAGACCACACCTTAAGAGCCCTCTGTTGCCACGAAATAGAGGGATTATGGGTAATCAACCAGGGAAGCCCCAGCACCACCGGATACGCAGGAGAGTCAATAAGATATAGCTGTATAGTCTCCTCATGACCCTCCTGCGTCCCCATCCTAAGTGGAGCCGTGACCTCCCTAATCAACCCCGATCCCAACGGACGGCTATCTAGAGCATGTACAGGGAAATGTTTGTTGACAGGAAGGAGGGGAATCCCTAACTCTGCACAAAATCTCCGATCTATAAAATTCCCAGCTGCGCCTGAATCTACTAGCGCCTTATGCTGGGAACGAGGTGCAACCTGTGGGAAGCAAACAGGTATGGTTAGGTGCACAACAGAGAGCTCTGGGTAAGTGGGGCGCCTACTCACCTGGAAGGACTCCCCAGTGCGTGGCCTGCCGTCTCTTCCCCTAGGAGACCCCCTCCAGCACCTGGCCGCAGTGTGTCCTCCACGGCCATAGTTGGTACAGGGGTTGGTTCCCCTGGGGCTCCTTCTCCTCTCCTCTCTAGCGCCAGCACCCCCGAGCTCCATAGGACTAGGCTCGGAGGTGCTGGAGGGTGGAATGGACGACCCCCACTCAGAACGTCCGCGGGTGGCCAGCAGGGTGTCTAGGCGAATGGCCATGTCCACCAACTGGTCAAACGTGAGGGTGGTGTCCCTGCAGGCCAAGTCACGACGGACGTCCTCCTGTAGGCTGCAGCGGAAGTGGTCTATGAGGGCCCGCTCATTCCACCCTGCGTCTGCCGCTAGAGTCCGGAACTCCAGTGCAAACTCCTGGGCGCTCCTCTTCCCCTGTCGGAGGTAGAATAGACGTTCTCCCGCCGCCTTCCCCTCAGGTGGATGGTCGAATACAGCCCTGAAGCGACGGGAGAACTCCGCATAGGTGATCGTCGCGGGGTCCATTCTCCTCCATTCGGCGTTGGCCCACTCCAACGCCTTGCCGGTGAGACAGGAGATGAGGGCGGAAACGCTCTCGTGTCCCGAGGGCACCGGGTGTACGGTGGCGAGGTAGAGTTCAACTTGTAGGAGGAAACCTTGACACCCAGCAGCGGTACCATCATACGCCCTCGGGAGGGAGAGCCGAATCCCACTGGGTTCCGGAGCGTGGACAAAGGGACTGACCGGTACTGGTGGTAATGTGGGAGGAGGCGTGGGTGCCCAACTGGTCTCCAGGCGATGCAGGGTATTCATTACTCCCTGCAGAGCGTTGGTGATTTGAGCTATCCTGTCATCCTGTCCGCGGACGTGCTCCTCCCATGACTCGGTCGCTGCTGCTGCTACTGCTGATTCCATGAGAGGTGTGTAGTTCTGTCAAAGCTGGCGTAGGGGTGGTGTGGGAATCAGATGCAGGATGCAGAAGTAGTCCAAAATACTTTAATAAAGTCCACAGAATGAACGGCTACAAACAGAGCCGGAGGCACAAGAAAAATGACGCACTCAGCGTAATAAACAAAACACGCACAATAGTGCGGACTCTCTACAGAAATAGAGCACAAACTAGACATGGAAACACCTGCTGACAATGAACAACTACACACAACCACAAGACAGAAACAACAAGAACTTAAAGGGCACATAATCAAGACAAAATGAGAAACAGGTGTACCAAAACAGACCAAACCAAACGAACACAGACACAACGAACGGTGGCAGCTAGTACTCCGGGGACGACGACCGCCGAAGCCTGCCCGGACAAGGAGAAGGAGCAGCCTCGGCAGAAACCGTGACACCGTCATAGAATGCCACCTTTCCAACAAGTCAGTTTGTCAAATTTCTGCCCTGCTAGAGCTGCCCCGGTCCACTGTATGTGCTGTTAATGTGAAGTGGAAACGTCTAGGAGCAACAACGGCTCAGCCACGAAGTGGTAGGCCACACAGCACAGAACGGGACCGCCGAGTGCTGAACCGCGTAGCACATAAACGGGACCATCCCTGGAAGCCACGTCAGCGCAAGAACTATTCGTCAGGAGCTTCATGAAAAGGGTTTCCATGGACGAGCAGCTGCACACAAGCCTAAGATCACCATGTGCAATGCTATGCGTCGGCGGAGTGGTGTAAAGCTCGCCACCATTGGACTCTGGAGCAGTGGAAATGCGTTCTCTGGAGTGATGAATCAAGAATCACCATCAGACAGTCCGATGGACGAATCTGAGTTTGGCAGATGCCGGGAGAACATTACCTGCCCCAATGCATAGTGCCAACTGTAAAGTTTGGTGGCGGAGGAATAATGGTCTGGGGCTGTTTTTCATGGTTCAGGCTCCTTAGTTCCAGTGAAGGGAAATCTTAACGCTACAGCATACAATGACATTCTAGATGATTCTGTGCTTCCAACTTTGTGGCAACAGTTTGGGGAAGGCCCTTTCCTGTTTCAGCATGACAATGCCCCAGTGCACAAAGCGAGTTCCATACAGAAATGGTTTATCGAGATCGATCTGGAAAACTTGACTGGCCTGCACAGAGCCCTGACCTCAACCCCATTGAACATCTTTGGGATGAATTGGAACGCCATCTGCGAGCCAGGCCTAATCGCCCAACATTAGTGCCCGACCTCACTAATGCTCTTGTGGCTGAATGGAAGCAAGTCCCCGCAGCAATGTTCCAACATCTAGTGGAAAGTCTTCCCAGAAGAGCGGAGGCTGTTATATCAGCAAAGAGGGCACCAACTCCATATTAATGCCCATGATTTTGAAATTAGATGTTTGATGAGCAGGTGTCCACATACCGTTGGTCATGTAGTGTATAGATAGATAGATACAGTGAGGGAAAAAAGTATTTGATCCCCTGCTGATTTTGTACGTTTGCCCACTGACAAAGACATGATCAGTCTATAATTTTAATGGTAGGTTTATTTGAACAGTGAGAGACAGAATAACAACAACAAAAAATCCAGAAAAACGCATGTCAAAAATGTTATAAATTGATTTGCATTTTAATTAGGGAAATAAGTATTTGACCCCCTCTCAATCAGAAAGATTTCTGGCTCCCAGGTGTCTTTTATACAGGTAACGAGCTGAGATTAGGAGCACACTCTTAAAGGGAGTGCTCCTAATCTCAGTTTCTTACCTGTATAAAAGACACCTGTCCATAGAAGCAATCAATAAATCAGATTCCAAACTCTCCATCATGGACAAGACCAAAGAGCTCTCCAAGGATGTCAGGGACAAGATTGTAGACCTACACAAGGCTGTAATGGGCTACAAGACCATCGCCAAGCAGCTTGGTGAGAAGGTGACAACAGTTGATGCGATTATTCACAAATGGAAGAAACACAAAAGAACTGTCAATCTCCCTCGGCCTGGGGCTCCATGCAAGTTCTCACCACGTGGAGTTGCAATGATCATGAGAATGGTGAGGAATCAACCCAGAACTACATGGGAGGATCTTGTCAAAGATCTCAAGGCAGTTGGGACCATAGTCACCAAGAAAACTATTGGTAACACACTACGCCGTGAAGGACTGAAATCCTGCAGCGCCCGCAAGGTCCCCCTGCTCAAGAAAGCACATATACAGGCCCGTCTGAAGTTTGCCAATGAACATCTGAATGATTCAGAGGAGAACTGGGTGAAAGTGTTGTGGTCAGATGAGACCAAAATCGAGCTCTTTGGCATCAACACAACTCGCCGTGTTTGGAGGAGGAGGAATGCTGCCTATGACCCCAAGAACACTATCCCCACCGTCAAACATGGAGGTGGAAACATTATTGCTTTGGGGGTGTTTTTCTGCTAAGGGGACAGGACAACTTCACCGCATCAAAGGGACGATGGACGGGGCCATGTACCGTCAAATCTTTGGTGAGAACCTCCTTCCCTCAGCCAGGGCATTGAAAATGGGTCGTGGATGGGTATTCCAGCATGACAATGACCCAAAACACACAGCCAGGGCAACAAAAGAGTGGCTCAAGAAGAAGCACATTAAGGTCCTGGAGTGGCCTAGCCAGTCTCCAGACCTTAATCCCATAGAAAATCTGTGGGAGCTGAAGGAGCTGAAGGTACGAGTTGCCAAACGTCAGCCTTGAAAACTTAATGACTTGGAGAAGATCTGCAAAGAGGAGTGGAACACAATCCCTCCTGAGATGTGTGCAAACCTGGTGGCCAACTACAAGAAACGCCTGACCTCTGTGATTGCCAACAAGGGTTTTGCCACCAAGTACTAAGTCATGTTTTGCAGAGGGGTCAAATAATTATTTCCCTCATTCAAATGCAAATCAATGTCTAACATTTTTTACATGTGTTTTTCTGGATTGTTTTGTTGTTATTCTGTCTCTCACTGTTCAAATAAACCTACCATTAAAATTATAGACTAATCATGTCTTTGTCAGTGGGCAAACGTACAAAATCATCAGGGGATCAAATACTTTTTTCCTTCACTGTAGATAGATAGATAGATAGATAGATAGATAGATAGATAGATAGATAGATAGATAGATAGATAGTAGCGTACAGACAGACAGACAGACAGACAGACAGACAGACAGACAGACAGACAGACAGACAGACAGACAGACAGACAGACAGACAGACAGACAGACAGACAGACAGACAGACAGACATACAGACAGACAGACAGATAGATTGATAGACAGTAGTGTCACAGGAGTAATGCCATTGCTTTTTGCTATACAGCAGCACTGTTTTCTCCTTGGGAACAATAAAGTTGGTCCTATCCTCTAGGTCCGCTGTGTATGGCCCAGTCCTCAGTCTTCTTCCTTAACATGTTTGTGTCAGCCTTCCTCCTGGCGGCCATTTCTCTGGACCGCTGTCTCCTTGTGGCGCTGCCCGTCTGGAGCCAGAATCACCGCTCCGTCATCGCCACCTGGAAGGTTTTACTGCACTTTCTGTTTTGTTAAGTCATTAGTTTTGTTTTTGTACGTTGATGATGTCATGATATAATGATGTAATGTATTATGATTACTTATGAACGTTTACAGTGTCTCAAACTCGGTTTTTAATCTGTAATAGTGTGTTGCCGATTGTTGTAATATTGTAGACACTTTAATAATAACTCTTTCTAAACTGCATGAAGCAGAAGACAAGTGTCTGTTAGGCAGAGTGACCCTAGGGGTGTGAGGTTGAGGGCAAGAGGTTACTCAGGGCATTGGACAATAAAGTCATCTTCTAATCTTCTTTTTCTTCTTCCAAGGTGTGTGCGTTGGGCTGGTTGTGGGCGGCAGCCAACGCCTTCCCTTACTTCCTGTTCCGGGCGGTGACAGAGAAGAAGGACGGCAGGAAACTCTGCTACCACCATTTTGGATTGTACTTATCGCCAGGGACCCTGCAGAGGGACTGTAGGGTACGGCAGGCGGCGACCGCTGTGTCCAAAACGTTCCTGGCGTTCCTACTCCCCCTAGTGGTGATTGCAGGGAGCTACGCCCTCTTCGGCATCAGTCTGAGCCAGAGGAGGAAGAGGAGGAGGAAGGACAGCGGTAGTAGACTCACCGGGGCGTTGATTGTTACCAACGTGGAACGTAGAGAGTCAAAACCCAACACAAACATCAAAAGCTCCACCCCCAATCCAAAATGTTCCACCCCTACTTCCCCCTCTGTCCAATTGTCTTCCAGACGGACCGAGCCCGGCCTATCCCGTGGCTTCACCAAAATGGTGACGTCGGTCATCGCGGCATTCGCCCTCTGCTGGGCGCCCTATCACGTGTTCTGCCTCATCGAGGTCGCCGCCCAATACTGGCAGCTCCAGGTCGCGTTGGTGGAGGTGGGGTTGCCCATGGCGACATTCTTTGCCTTCCTGAACCCGGTGTACGTGTTCAGCTGTCCCAACTTCTGCGTCCGGATCAGACAGAGTCTGGGGGAGCTGATGGAGGGACTGGTCGAGGAGGGAGGGATGGGGGGAGCAGGGGAGGGGGTGCTGGAGTTGAGTATCAGGAAGGGGAGGAGGAGAATGGGGGTGAACTCACTGTCGTCACCAAACTGTCTGGGGACTCCGGGGTCTCCGGGGTCTGTTGTTGGCAGCACCAAGTCACTAAGTCAAATTCTGGGAATGTGTTAATGTTCTTGGCTAATAAAGTGATTGTGATGTCATCACCCCCCAGAGAGCAATAGATGCAGAAAACTATGACATGTCACATCCCAGACCTGTAGTCTAAGAACACTTTCAGTTCAAACAACTGACCCTTTAATCACATTTCAGCACGATTGGTTTTGATGAATTAAATATACGATCCTCTTTAGGGGGGGGTACCTTTAGGTATCAAAACTATTATGTACTTTTTTTGGGATAAAGTATTGAAATTGGCCTTCACTACTAAAGCCCTTAGAAACATAAGTCAAAAAATAAACCATAATGAATAAGGTTTTGAAGTGTCCGTCCTATATCTGAGAGATATTAGACAGCTCAGGAAATTATATAATAATAATAATAATATGCCATTTAGCAGACGCTTTTATCCAAAGCGACTTACAGTCATGCGTGCATACATTTTTGTGTATGGGTGGTCCCGGGGATCGAACCCACTACCTTGGCGTTACAAGCGCCGTGCTCTACCAGCTGAGCTACAGAGGACCATATATTACCCACATTTAACCATTTTCTGGACACTAAAGTACTTCCATTCATTTTTTAAATGGGTTACATTCAGACGAGTCTTGAGGCTTGTGGGTGTTGTAGAGCAAAACAACCGACATGTATGTACGTGTTCATGATTCTCAGCTTTCGATGGGTTTGTATTAGTTTGCAACCCAATAGAAAACCTGTGGTTTGAATTGAAGAAGGCAGTCCATAAGAGCAGATGAAGGATACCAAGGTTAAGGAACAATTTTTTATTGAGGAATGGTCTAAGATCCTTCCCAATATGTGTTTTCCAATCTCATAAAACATTTTTGAAAAAGTCTGTGTCATTATCCTCGGAAGGGGACGGTGCTTGTTAAACAAAATCTCTTTCTCTGAGCAATTGTATTACTATAACAAATGTTGAGCATACAATATAGCTCAATATTAGTATGAGTTATTTCACAAAGTCTTTATCAAGGACAATAATTCTGTCCCCACTGTATGTGGGTGAGTCAACTTATTTGAATGAAATTATTTAATATGATTTAATACATGATATTAATAACTTTATTATGACATTATTAATCTTATTACATTAACGTAACTTATGTTAACCTGTGGTTTTAACCTTAGAGTCTGCCCGGGGCTGGGTTTCTACTAAGTTAACATATGGAATTGTTTTAAGATGATCATACAAAGGATAATTTTGTTATTTGAGTTGGATTTTTAGGACCCTTGTAGGCATCAAAAATATAAAATAAAGTATTTGATGAAACATACAATTTGGCCTTCCTGCTATTAGCCAATAGAAACACATTGGATAACAGATTCAACAAAGATTCATCAAAAGTAAATATGCTTTGTAGTGTCTGTTCTATATCTGAGAGATATAAGACAGCTCAGGAAATTATATATATATGTATATATATTTATATATATATATATACAATGGGGAGAACAAGTATTTGATACACTGCCGATTTTGCAGGTTTTCCTACTTACAAAGCATGTAGAGGTCTGTAATTTCTATCATAGGTACACTTCAACTGTGAGAGACGGAATCTAAAACAAAAATCCAGAAAATCACATTGTATGATTTTTAAGTAATTAATTTGCATTTTATTGCATGACATAAGTATTTGATCACCTACCAACCAGTAAGAATTCCGGCTCTCACAGACCTGTTAGTTTTTCTTTAAGAAGCCCTCCTGTTCTCCACTCATTACCTGTATTAACTGCACCTGTTTGAACTCGTTACCTGTATAAAAGACACCTGTCCACACACTCAATCAAACAGACTCCAACCTCTCCACAATGGCCAAGACCAGAGAGCTGTGTAAGGACATCAGGGATACACTTGTAGACCTGCACAAGGCTGGGATGGGCTACAGGACAATAGGCAAGCAGCCTGGTGAGAAGGCAACAACTGTTGGCGCAATTATTAGAAAATGGAAGAAGTTCAAGATGACGGTCAATCACCCTCGGTCTGGGGCTCCATGCAAGATTTCACCTCGTGGGGCATCAATGATCATGAGGAAGGTGAGGGATCAGCCCAGAACTACATGGCAGGACCTGGTCAATGACCTGAAGAGAGCTGGGACCACAGTCTCAAAGAAAACCATTAGTAACACACTACGCCGTCATGGATTAAAAGCCTGCAGCGCACGCAAGGTCCCCCTGCTCAAGACAGCGCATGTCCAGGCCCGTCTGAAGTTTGCCAATGACCATCTGGATGATCCAGAGGAGGAATGGGAGAAGGTCATGTGGTCTGATGAGACAAAAATAGAGCTTTTTGGTCTAAACTCCACTCGCCGTGTTTGGAGGAAGAAGAAGGATGAGTACAACCCCAAGAACACCATCCCAACCGTGAAGCATGGAGGTGGAAACATCATTCTTTGGGGATGCTTTTCTGCAAAGGGGACAGGACGACTGCTCCGTATTGAGGGGAGGATGGATGGGGCCATGTATCGCGAGATCTTGGCCAACAACCTCCTTCCCTCAGTAAGAGCATTGAAGATGGGTCGTGGCTGGGTCTTCCAGCATGACAACGACCCGAAACACACAGCTAGGGCAACTAAGGAGTGGCTCCTTAAGAAGCATCTCAAGGTCCTGGAGTGGCCTAGCCAGTCTCCAGACCTGAACCCAATAGAACATCTTTGGAGGGAGCTGAAAGTCCGTATTGCCCAGCGACATTCCCGAAACCTGAAGGATCTGGAGAAGATCTGTATGGAGGAGTGGGCCAAAATCCCTGCTGCAGTGTGTGCAAACCTGGTCAAGACCTACAGGAAATGTATGATCTCTGTAATTGCAAACAAAGGTTTCTGTACCAAATATTAAGTTCTGCTTTTCTGATGTATCAAATACTTATGTCATGCAATAAAATGCAAATTAATTACTTAAAAATCATACAATGTGATTTTCTGGATTTTTGTTTTAGATTCCGTCTCTCACAGTTGAAGTGTACCTATGATAGAAATTACAGACCTCTACATGCTTTGTAAGTAGGAAAACCTGCAAAATCGGCAGTGTATCAAATACTTGTTCTCCCCACTGTATATATTACCCACATTTAACCATTTTCTGGGCAGTAAAGTACTTCCATTCATTTTTTAAATGGGTTACATTCAGACGAGTCTTGAGGCTTGTGGGTGTTGTAGAGCAAAACAACCGACATGTATGTACGTGTTCATGATTCTCAGCTTTCGATGGGTTTGTATTAGTTTGTAACCCCATAGAAAACCTGTGCTTTGAATTGAAGGGGGCAGTCCATAAGAGCAGATGAAGGATACCAAGTTAAAGGAAAGATGTTTTATGGAGGAATGGTCGAAGATCCCTCCCAATATGTGTTTTCCAATCTCATAAAACATTTTAGAAAAAGTCTGTGTCATTATCCTTGCAAGGGGAGGGTTCTAAGGTATTGAAAACAGAGGATCCAATAATGTTGACCCTTCTCTTTTTTAGATTTGTTTTATTACTTGTTAAACAAAATCTCTTTCTCTGAGAAATTGTATTAGTATAATAAATGTTGAGCATATAATATAGCTCAATATTTGTATTAGTTATTTCACACAGTCTTTATCAAGGACAATAATTCTGTCCCCACTGTATGTGGGTGAGTCAACTTATTTGAATGACATTATTTAATATGATTTAATACATTATATTAATAAAGTGTGCTCCGTTTGAAGTAGAAATAGAAAATAAACTTTACTACATTAAACAAAATGTTTAATCATTTTGAGAATATAGGAAATAGGTTGACTGATATGTTGAACAACAGTAGTCATGGTTGACTTGGTTGTCAACAGCCTTCTGGACGTTGAAGTCTTTTCACCTTAGAAAAACAGGAATCCCTAAAGTTGTCCCAGGTGAGGCAGGCCGAATACGAGGAAAGGGCAATGCTGCTGTAGCTGAACTAAATAGACTGGAACAACCTCCATGATTTACAAGAAATCACCTGACTGACTAGAAAGGGAAAACCATTTCAAATTCCTTATATTAACCAAAATATATGGCACCATTGTCTTGTTTTTATTTATTTATGGATAGCCAGAGGCACATTCCAACACTCAGACATAATTTACAAACAAAGCTTTTGTGTTTAGTGAGTTGCATGATCAGAGGCAGTAGGGATGACCAGATATATTCTCTTGATGACCATGTTTCCTGTCCTTCTAAGAATTCAAAATGTAAAGAGTACTTTTGGGTGTCAGGGAAACAGTATGGAGTAAAAAGTACATTATTTTCTTTAGGAATGTAGAGAAGTAAAAGTAAAAATTGTCAAATATATAAATAGTAAAGTAAATTAAATGTACACAAAAAAACGACTTAAGTATTACTTTAAAGTATTTTTACTTAAGTACTTTACACCACTGAGCAGTTGCTTTCGGGTCTATAATTATAATTACACATACGCGAGACTCATGACAATCAAATTAGAACCGACCCGGATTCAAGGGTAAACTACAGAATTTCTGACCCGGGTTCGGGTGGACCCTTGAAGACTTCTAGTTGTTATGAATGATACTGAAACACTCATAATGGTGTTATCACTGGTTTCTTTAAGATGTATACCCCTTCATATAAAGGGTGTGTGTGTGACCGCATGTGTGTACAGTTCAATGTGTGGTTGTGAGTGTGTGTTTGTATATGCGTACATGTGCATGTGTGTGTGTGCTTCCAATTGGTGGAGGGTGGTTTGTGCATCAAAATGAGGGAAATAGTGCATCAAAACATTGACTTTGGTATGTTATTACATGATCAGTTGACATTATTACATTATTCATCAAAAACATTGTTACTCACCTGATAACATAATTACCACCAGATAACGTAATAACTTTATTATGACATTATTAATCTTATTACATTAACGTAACTTATGTTAACCGGTGGTTTTAACCTTAGAGTCTGCCCGGGGCTGGGTTTCTACTAAGTTAACATATGGAATTGTTTTAAGATGATCATACTTTATTTATATTTATATACAAAGGATC